CTCGATTTATACGCCGTTTAACCCGAGCGAGCCTCTACTCCCCTGATCGGGATTCTAGCGCAGCAGTAAAGATATATAATTTATGCCCCGCGCTGGACTCCCTTGTATCATCGCGACGTTAACGCATTCATCAAAGACGGATTCTCCGCACCCGCGCGCACGATACAATTTCATTTTTAATCTCGCTTCTATTCTCTCAGCGTTAACCCTATAGTGAAGATACATGTAGAAAAATCACATCGGGGCTACACAGTCACGATACATTATTACACACCGCCCTCTAACACGAGTAACTTACAATTGTCACGAATATTGGGATGTACAATACTGGACAAAAGTATTTGTACACCCTTTAAAACGGAACGACTTTTTTAAAATTGATCCAAATGACTTGAGTTCTTTTGTGAAGTTAGGAACATTAGTTTACTATATGACGTGTAAAAAAAATTGAAAAAGTTGCAATTGGTTGGAATCGCGAAGAGAATAGTAAAAGTTGTTTTTTACAACTTTTTAATACGAGGCTGTAATGAAAATGTAATAAATACACGTCGAAGATTTATGTTAGTTATATACCTGTTGAAAATTTCATTCACATCGGTTAACGTTACTACGAGATACAAACGATTAAAAATGTTGAAAATCACAGTCGCTCGTTTCTGAATCAATCCATTTCAATGAAAGTTTCAGTACCTATATAACTAACATAAATCCTCGACATATATTTATTAAATTTTCATTACAGCCTGAGTTTAAACAGTTGTAAAAAACTAACTTTACTATTTTCTTTGCGATTCCGACCAATTGCAAATTTTTCAATTTTCTTTGCACTTTTTTTAAAAAAGTTGTTCCGTTTTAAAGGGTGTACGAATACTTTTTTCCGGTACTGTATCTATAAAACTTCCCCCAAAGATAGAACGGTACATTAGGAATAAAAGGTTTAGTTACAGACATGTATGTATTATAACATAAAATGTAATGGTATATTAGAAATGTAATAGAAGATTGAACTTCTCAATTTAAAAATGATATTGTAAGCGGTAGAACGCAGCTGCCATCTTTTTTTAGGTTAGGTGCACTAGTAGAAGAGGAGTCGCTGACACACGGGGCAGTTTTTGAGACAAATGATCGGTCGATTTTCTTTTCTTTTCTACAGTTTCCAGAAATGAGATTCATACCGCATAGAACAAGTTCAGTTATTTGGATTTGTAGAATTTATGTGTGGTCGAGGACAACCGTGGTTATTAGATTAACCGAACTGTACGCTATAAAGCACGGCAGCCATCTTTGTTCAGGATCTTTACATAGGAGAAGTATGGCCAAAGGTTCGGACAGCTTATTGTTAATTAGTCAAAGTAGACTTCTTCAAATTTATCTTCCATCTACAATATTTTGTCCTATAAGTAGGTACTATTTAAAATTAACGAAAGATTTGTCCTACAAAATTGAATTATTCGATTCCTGAATGAAATATGTCATTGTTCTTATCACAGAGCCCCCTAGGTCACGGTTAGGTCATGACGCTACAATGCGAATGCACACGAGTCGTAAAAACACATTTATCGCCAAGCTCTAACAGTCAGTGGTGGATCATAAGTAGGTCGCATTATTAAGCTGCAAAGTTGTAGCACGCGTCTCGAGGTTACGGTTTTTTTTTTCTTTTTTTAGAAAGCGAGAAGGGATCGTAAAATTGTTATTATAGAATGGTGCCGGTCAGAAAACGATCCTTGGGTCGCAGCTTTCATGAGATACTGTGATTCATTAAAGGATTTCAATATTCTCTGGTGAAAGAGTAGCATACAGTATATGTAGTAAATATTGTAAACGAAGAACAATAGAAGCCACTGAACAATGCAGGATTACTACAGAATCATAAAGTTACACTGTGAAAGAATCGGCTAGAAAACCTTGTGTGGTTTTAAGAATAGTATAGATTATAAATAAACTACAAATTTTATGCATTTCTAGCATATTCGATTGTCTGCCATTCAGTATAGTAAACAATTCAACAGAATCTTATAAGACTCGCATCTCACTTGAAAAACAATAAAACTCATAGGGTAAAATTATGTAAATACAAATTTATAAATATGAATTTTTTGTATATCTTTTGAGGAAACATAGTAATGGCAGTTATACTTTAATCCTCGGAAGACGAATCTCTGCAAGGCGAACCGGGGTCACTTTCGACCCATACCAAAATCTCGTATAAACAATTCATCAAAAGTTTTACCCTCCGTTTTAATACATCGACTTAACTCATTTGCTACTATGTATTGACGCATATAAGTGTCCAACCGATATCGTTCACCAACAATGTTGGGTGCTGTATTTTAAACAACGACACCTATAAAACGCGACTGTTTGTATGATTCGCAAGAGTATACTATCGCAACTGTCACCGTGTAGCTGGAAATTTTTAGCAAACAAATTTTCGTTCCACTCCAGTATCTGTAAATTAATCCGCCGAAAACAAAAAAAAATTCCATTCGCCCAAGAATGCACAATCGAAATCACACCGTTTATCATAAATCATCGTGGACCCATCGAGGATAAATAAAATCGTTCGGAAGGGAAACGAATCCCGTCGATTCGTTTCTACAGGGCATCGGCTCGCCGGGAGGAGCACATTGTTCCCGGGCGTTTCAGCAGGGCCCCGGGGATCGAATGTTCTCGTGGCCGGCCGTCGCAGAATTTGCTTTAATGAAAGCGATCGCGGCGACGATCCGCCGGTTTATTTCCCCATGAAAGCATCGACTACCTCGACTTAACTGCGAGCTCCTCATTGTCCGACTGGGCCAATTAATGGCACCGGGGTCCTCGACGGGGCTCCGATGCAATAAGAGGAAATAAAAACGCAATGAAAGGTTTTATTGGCTATCATTGGCCGACTACTGGATCCCCCTCCACCCTCGAGTCGCGAAAACGGTCCCATTGTTCCCTCGAGCTGCGGAACGACCGCACGAAAATCTCACCAACGAGGAACCGAATAACTTTACGAGACCCGCTGTCCGTGACTCTCTGAATCGCCACCGGTTAATTTCCATCGGTTAACGCGTTCAGTGGCCCGTTAAATGCTGATCGATCAATCGCTTTCTGTTTACACACCTGCCGGGAACGTAATTCGCTCGTTCGATAACGCCGTCCATCTGCACGGGAGCAAACGTTTCCCAGTCAGTATTACAAAACATTCGAAGCTAATCGTTTCGAGGCTCGCCATAGTCGCGATGGAACACGATCCATACGATGATTGCTGCGCAGCGATCGACTTGATTGTTTTCGACAAGATTAGGCCCCTCCGGTCGACACGGACTCGATCATATCTGATCTAACGGCACGTGACTGTATTTAATGAGCAATCGAACGTGGCGTGCATACTGTTATATGCTGTTTATACGTGATCTTATGTATCATAGCAGACTGTTGTTATCATTACTATTTTTACCCGAAGGAGGCGAATGGGTGTTCAACGAATGGTAGTGGACGTTCGATCTTGTTTAGCTGCTTTGAGAGGAATCCTCGAGGTAGGTTGAAGTTTCGAATAGTTCCTGTTGTCACGGAGGATGAAGTGGTAGCACAGTGGTCTTCGATTTACAGGGCTTAAGGAGCTTTCCCTTTTCTATCATCGTTGATACCCCTACTGTTGGCCCATTGTTTCCCTCGGTATGTTCCTATGAACACATTACGACATGTGCAACCTCTATACGGACAGAATTCAATGTGTAGAGAGGGACAGCCCATTTATAGCTACTATAGTCGTAGGATTTGCTAGGGACGTCGCTTTAGTTAGAACATGAATCGTTGAAACTTTAACTTTTGAACAGTCTCCGTTCTTCAAAGGAACTGCCACGTAGGCGGTGTTGATATTAACATGAAAAGTCGATTGAAGTACATCTTGACAGCTAGCTACAAGCTTTTTAACGAACTGAAGGAATCCGGTTCAGTTCTCTGTGGCTCCGTTTAACAAGTTACACCAGCAAAACGAGATAATAAACAGAAAAATTTCTAGTGACGAAGAACGTTAGTGTAGGTACATATAGTCAACGGAATATGAAATATTTAATAACAAGATATTTAACCTAGACCCGAGCATACAACGAATAGAATTCGGCATACTGCTATCGGAAACATTTATGACTGATAGGAAAGTGTCCTATTATTTTATATTTATTGTTTACTTAGGAATACATAGAATTCATTGAAACGACAATGCAAACTAATAGCGACTGCACAGTTTTGTTCACAAGTGCTACGATATTCATGGAAAACTACAATTAATTTGCCTCAGTTAATGCTATGGCAACCGACTAGTTTTGCGAGTAACTTTTAGCCATAGCCGACTGTTTTTGTCAAGAATTAACGAAATATGGTTTTTGCTATGTGTGCAGAAAAAAAAATTCAATAACTTTGTATACCTGAAGTGTAGTACCACTTGGCACTCACATGACGCCACTGTAGCGTCATCGCTCGTCACAGTGTTAATAATTACACAATTATGGATGGTGTTGAATATACTGGGTGACTCACTACAGTCTCAGGCCATATTAATGATGATCACCTGAAAATTTTATAGAAGAAACAAAATGTTTTTTCAGGGTTGCCAGTGCATAAAAAACCATTGCCTCCACTTTCACAAAACTTATCATAATAATAAAAACACATTTTGGCATCGAAGAATAACAATTATGCTTCGGAAAACTGGTGTTAATTATATTTAATTTAATGTCAACAAGTGGTCGCATTAATATGGCCAAGTACTATAGTTAATTACGCCATTTTTAGTTATTCTCAATGTTACTGAAGAATCAAAGAAGCGACTGAAAAGTGGATAAACTGTTCAAGGATCTGCAGTTTCATGAGCTTCTGGTTATGAAGTTTGATTACTTCGTGAACCACCTAACCCAGATCGTTCCCATCAGGACAAGTCTAACTTTGCCTTTCTTTTTCTTCCAGGCTCGTCAGCATGATATGATAGCAGGGTCCGAAGCGATCTCCCCTGAAAGATGAAGAATCCTTACGTCCTCGTGTGCTTCCTGCTGCTGGTGTCCCTGGCCTTGGGCTTGAGCCTGCAGGAGGACGACCTGGTGTTCGACGACGTCGGCGAGGAGAGCACCAGCACCGCAGCCACGGTGGTCAACAACCGGTGGTTCGACGAGCCGAGAACGAGCTGGCACGAGCAGAAACGGTTCCACGACATCAAGAGGCACCAGGTCGAGAGGCTCTGGGGCGTTCCCGATGTCGTCGTGCCGGTCGGCCACGCGCTCAAGCTGAGGATCCCACGGCAGGCGTTCACCGGATCCGTGGATTATTACGAGGTGAGAATCTACGGCTCTCTCGTATGTCCCCCAGCCGCACTGATCTGTATACGGGGTGTTAATTTTAACTCGAACACCTAAATTATTTCTACTATTGAAAGTAAGGCCTACTGTCCACTAAGTCTTGTCATAGATGCGTCAGCGTAGCGTACAACATGATGATTACGCTACACTTGAGTTTCTGTCCACTTCAGTGTATTGGAAGCGTATAGAAAACGTACAGAAATCTTGATTTTCCTCATTCGCAAAGATGTAGGGCGACGAAAAGGACGTTATCGCCTTATGTAATTATATTTGACAGCGTAAAAGTCGGATAAGTTATTTGGTTACATCTTTACATAGAAAGGAACATAAATGATCATGTATTTCATTCTTTTTATAGAATGAATACAAATACGTGCAAGAATTCGGTGCATTTGGTAGCTCCGTTAATAAAAAAACAAGACACTGAAATGCGATTTTGTGTTAGTCATGTACAAACATGGGTATCTTTTCTATTTTTTTTTATATTTCATAGGTAACTTGTCAACAATCTGTACGAATTTCACGCCCGACATATTTCACACTCGACACAGATGAAAATTGTGTGTCCTTCTGTACGCCCAGAGGCCGACATCGTTGATGACGCGCTTCATGCCGAACGCATGCAGGGACGAAAACGCGACGCTAAAGCATATGTGGACACACGTCCATTGTTTTACATTGGTCGCTACATGGAAGCGTACTGCAAGAGTCAAATGTGTATGAAGCGTCTATGACGAGACACCTTAGTGGACAGTAGGTCTAAGAAAAAATGACTAAATAGGATGTACATAGTTTTAAGGCATGCATTTGATACAAAAATTCTGTAAAGGTCATTTTAACGGGGTTTTCAAGGTCATCGTATTTTTCTTGCATATTAGCATGTATTTTTTATAACGCGATGTGGTTGTCGGCGTCAAGATGAGTTCAATGACCTACACCGCATGACCTTGAAGTGACCTCGAAGGCGAAGAAATCAGCTTCAGTTTGAAGAATGCAGAAGTAAATAAGCGTAATAAGAAGTAAAAAACATTTTATGTACATCCTATTTAGTCATTTTTTCTTACTTTCAAGAGTAGCGGAATAATTTCGGTGCTCGAGTTAAAATTAACACCCTGTACACTGGATACGGTATGGGGCTTCTAAGCATAGGAAGCTGCTGTGATCATAGGGGGGCTGCTGTCTTTGAGAATGAACCACATGCGATGCCTGACGAGCGTCCCTGGTACTAACTACATTCTACAGGAAGCTTATAGCTTTTCGAAGGCGTCTTTTCCTCTTTTTTGTTCGAGACATGGTAGAGTTGAGTTACACGTTTGAGAAATAAATATTTACACGTTTGAGTGAACAGATATTTACTCCGTCTATAGACGAGCTGACAGAAACTGTAGAAAAGCTCAGAGTTTACATCGCGAGACTTTTTCGTAAAGACAATATCTTAGTACATTTATTCCGGTGCATCCTTGGCTTAGAGAAACTGGATTTTGTTCCACTACGAGCTATGTAAAGAATTAACATGGAATTGAAATCAACACGACTACGTGTAGTACCAGGGACGCTCGTCAGGCATCGCATGTGGTTAATTCTCAAAGATAGCAGCCCCCTTATGATCACAGAGCCAACGAGCCTACACCGTATCCAGTATATACAGATCAGTGTCCAGCCGCTTTCCTCTCCTCCTCTCGACCCGACTGGACGCCGGCCAACAACCGCGGACGATCCTACACGTTCTTGAGGATTTATCTCCCCCGCCTACGTACCGGCCAATCGTTGTGTCCGCCTCGTATCCTTTGTTTTTAAACCTCCTCGCGCTGGGAAACAAATTCTCGTCCCGGTCGTCGTTATTCCTGTTAGCAACTCCTTTTAGATAGTTCTGCTATGTTGGATGAAACGAGAATTCTTGGGTTGGTATTTTTGAGGTTATAGGACGTATCATTATTGGGCTGGGGTAAGTTTGGTATAAGAGTATGTTAGGGTGTATGAGGGATAGAGAGAACGGATTGGTTCATTGGAACAATTCTTGGATTGCTACTTAGAAGGTTATAGGATGTTCATTCTTTCGCCGGGGATATTTGGAATTAAGGTATATCAGAGTATAGATGGGTAGAGTAGTCAGGTATAGAGGGATAGATAGAACAAGAATTCTGAGATTGGTACTTTGAGGTGTAATGGATGGGATACGCGAAATTAACGATATGAACTTGTAATTTATTCGTTACAGCGGTCGACACAAAGTGATTTTTGGAAATAGCATCTGCTTACTAAGGGAAGTGTCAGATGTTTTAAAGGTTTTGAAGGAAGGAGTGGGAAATAGGGTAGGTCATGGTTTGCATAAGTTCGGTGAAGGACACGTAAGCTAATGCTATCTAATGCTGGTTGCAGAACGGATGATTCAGTGTTTTTAGATACAGTCACAAAAATATTTACAGAGTACCTACTGTCGTTCAAGGGTTAGTACATTACAGAAGGTTGTAAGACGATCATTTGTGGCCGGGAAAGTTTGGAATAAGGGTATGTCAGGGATGTTCCAGTAGTGTTCGAAAGAGTTCCCGGTACTACCTCACTTAGCGCCAAAGCAGGATTACCGTGGAGGTTTTAGTGCGTAAAAATCTCACATTATCCCACCCCCTAGGGCACGGGTCGGCAAACTTTTAAGACGGAAGAGCCAAATCTGTCCCTTAAAACAATTTAAAAATTATTTCAGAGCTATAAATATATTTTTATAAATAAGGAGAATTTAAAGTAACGTTATAACAAGTTCTAATATTAATTATATCTTTATTAAATGAAGAAAAAATCTTAGAAAAATTGCTCTCATTGATTGTATTTTCATTTTTAATTGTACTTCAGAGTCACATGTAAGTAGGTACCCAAAGAGCCGCATTTGGCTCGGGAGCCGCAGTTTCCGACCCCTGCCCTAGGGGGCCAAGATGTCTTCAGAAGATTTTCCCCACGTAAAAAAAGGGTATATGAGAGGTAGATGGAACGAGGATTCTTGGGTTGGTACTTCGAAGGTTTTGGGACGATCACTTCTGGGCCGGGGAAGTCTGGAATGAGGGTATATCAAGGTATACGAGGGATAGATGGAACGAGAATTGTTGGATTGGTACTTTGGAGGCTGCAAAATGAATCATTTTTGCGCCGGGGAAGTTTGTAACGAGGGGAATCGATACTAAAGTGATTAGAATTTGGTGATTTTATTTCAGGATCGAAGCATTAGAAATTTATTTGATTGCACGTTATAATGTATTGCGTAAACAAGGTTAATATGCCAGGTCATTAATGAATTTACTGAAAATTTAACGTTTACTGAAAGTAGTACGAATAGTAGTGAATAGAGACAACTAAAAGATATAATTAATAAGTATGTACTTTTTCACCATTCGAATACGTGGATCTAAAATGGAATGGCCACAAAACAGATTACAAAGTTTGAAAAGTCAAAAAGCTATCTTTTTGTTTAAAGATTAGAATTTTTAGAACCAGTGCTTTGTTGTTGTGAATCCTTGAATTATAAGTAGTAAAAACAGCTCTCAGAAAATCTTTTACACTCCCTCTTTCCTGTTCACACTTTTCACTTCTATCTAGAAAACTTCTTCAATTACCTTAACAGGAAAGGTATTCTACATGGTACACTCCACGTACATAGTATACAACTCGCTGTTATTCTGCATTCTCTGGTGAACATTTGCATCTGAAGTATCTACCCTTGTTATTCGAGTTGAAAATTTATATTGTGTGTCTCAAAAAAGAAAGGTAAAAGTTTTACTTGCATGCAATCCTAGTACAACGCATCCTACTTTTAACAAAAAAAAGATAAAGCAGGTTACCTGGCTCTGTAATTCGTCGAATGATACGAGAACACAAAGGGGTTGACAAATTACAATGAATCGAAACGAACAAAACATCGTCGGAACATTAGAACTTTAACGATGTAGGTTATTTTAGGCTTGATTGGACGACGATATACTCGTAGACGCTTCTTTTTGCGGAAAGGCAGACCAGCCACAACAAGTAGTTCACTGCACCCTAATTTGTCGGATGTCAGGAGATGGGGCAGGAAGGGGGCCAGAAAATTCCGGGGTTCCGTTTCAAGCAAATTCTGGACTATCGCCAAATTTCATAGGTTGATCCTTGCCGGGCGGGGACGTACGTATTTCCCTGTCTTTCATTTGCCTCCTTTTGTCGGCGGTGCCAACATCGTCGCGGGAATCTATATTCGTGATTCAATTTCCCTTATCCGCCTCGCTCTTACACGCCCCGCGCCATCCGTTTATCCGGGAACTTGCTGCGTGCTGTGGAGCGCAATTGGGGGACGTAACTCGTGTAAATTTCAGACGGGCTTGCATATTGCTACTGGTGACTTCTGTGACCAATGAAAAAAACGGTTCGTGGATCGACGTAAAATTTCACTTTCGTGTGAAGACCATAGGGGAAATACATGACGTTTTTTTTTGTTGACTTTCTGACTTGCCATCTTTTGACTCAAAGAGGGTACTTTAACGTTTTATGTACTGACGGTACTTTGTAGTACCACTTATACAGTGTGGAGCAATAACTATGTTCACTTTGAATATTGCCGTTATTTGTAATAATATGAAAAAATGTTATATACAAAACTTACACAGTGTAGAGAGGGGCATATTGTGACACAAACATTTTCTGCGTGGGTGAAGGTATAGGGAAGATTTCAAGGTCATCTCTATTTTTTTTAATAGAATGCTATGTTTTTTTTTATCACGATGTGATAGCCGGTGTTCAGACGATTTCAGCGAGCTACCATTAAAGGTCATGCAAGGTCAAATGTGGTAGTAAAATAAATTTTCTTACATTACAGGAGAGGCTCGAAGTGGTGACCGTTTGCGTCAATGCAAAGTTGCAATCTTCGTATCGTTGCAACTTATTCTAGCACATAGCCAACGTTACCGGCAGACTCGCGCTCTGATTGGTCTGGGTTGTTCGTTAATATCTTGTTAACAAAGCCTCGGAGAACTTTTTCGCTAATAAAAAAGTTGTTTCAAATCACTCTAGCAATCACCCCTTTAAAGGACTTACAACTATTTTAGGACACCCTGTATTAAACTTGATGAAAGTTGTTTTCTATTGCATTTCACATACTCCTTTAAACTATAAATGCATAAAATCCGTACTCTAATAATAACGAAAGTAAAATAAATCGGGGGAGTGCGGTCCCGTGCTCTCGGCTACAGGAGTCATTAACACGTTCCGTGCCACAGTGAAAAAGGCCGTACGTAGCCAGACAATCTTTATGTCGTTCTTCAAGCCATAAGTTACCGAAAATGTGTGTCTTTTGTTAATAGAGGCTGTTGGTCTTGTTTTAAACTACAGTTCAACATTAAGACGATCCGTGCCATATGTACCACCGATGGTACACGTTAAATTTCCAATTCAGTCTGCATGTACCACCAGTGGTACATGTGGCACGGAACGTGTTAATAACGAAAATATGTGTGATTCTTTTTATCTCCACATACTTGCTCTCGCAACTGCGATCCAAGTCGATAAAACAGCGTCATCCCTTTAAAAATCCCTTTTTAAAAATCCCTTCATCCCCAAGAATTTCTCTTTTCTAACACGAAGTTCTTTTCGAAAATAGGTGTTCGATGCGAACGGAAGTCAGCTGCCACGATGGCTGTACTGGGACGACGCGGCGTCGACATTTATGGGCGTACCGTCGAAAAAGGACACGGGTAGTCACCATCTGAGCGTGAAGGCGATCGGAAAACACGGCGACACCGCGAAGGACCTGTTCATTGTGCAGGTAGTCCCTGAGAAACACGAGGAGCTGAAACACAGGGATGGAAAGGTGAGGTCCTTATCCTCCTCGGAGATAGCCCCGTCGTTAGCGGTAAAAACATTCCGTTTGGCAGCGATTCAAGCGTTCCCCGAGCGACCAACAGGTTACCTCCGGTTTCCCACTACGGGGATTAATCGCGGAGATTGGTAACCTGTTGTTGAACGCGATTCCGTTCCCACTGATGATCGAACTCTCGTGATCCTGGAGTGATATTGGAAAGTTGCTTTCCGTGAAATTCGGGACAGAATTATTGATCGCGATGAATAAGCAGGCTGACTAAAGGTATTTCATGAAATAGGCTCTAATAAGAGAAGTTACATAGATATTAAATTACTTTTGAAAAAATAATGGTCCTAGGTACTGGATCGTTTATGAAGTGAAATAAGGGTCATACCCCTGAAGAAGTTCATATCTGTCAGAAAAATGGCGTCGAAGTCCGCCATAAACAGCTCGGAAAATATGGATATAAGTTCGATATTAGTTAGAGCCTTGTAAGGGGATTTTTGAGACTATTATGAATACAGGGCGATAAAAAAAGTACGTAACATTTATGAAGAACTGGTTACTTATTCTACGGTGGGGGTTTACAAAGTTCTGAGAATTGTGTTATAAACTTTTTATTTTATAATTTCCGTTTAACTGTATGCACCTGTCCCAGCGTGAAACTAGTTTTTAAAAGCTGTTTAAAAAGAACTTTTTGAGAGTTTCTTTTATCCACTGCTTTACGGCTAGTTTTACGTCATTTAAGTCCTGAAACCGCATACCACGTAGAGGTTTTTTTTTTCAATTTTGGAAACAGATGATAGTCGCTAGGTGTCAGATCAAGCGAATAAGGTGGATGTGGGAGTAATTCCCAGCGCAGTTCGTCTAAAACTAATTTTGCAGAAAATAGTGGCTCTTTGAGAATTTATAGCAACTTCCATAGTTATAAAATTAACACTTAAAACACGTCTGTATTTGCCAAACGGCTAAATCATTCTGATCGCCATTAACTAACATTGTTGGAAAAACCTACCAGGATTTGTCTGTACGTAAAAGCATTAGTCATAACCCCTGCATTATTTAGCCAGATCGCAATGCCAAGAACTTTGTAAATACCCCTTGTAGACCCAGTCGATGTTAAAAAAAGCTGGAAGAATCCGTTTCTGATTAGTGTTTAGTTTTTACAAAGTGAACGTATACAAGGTGATACAGAAAAATGTAACACGTTCCTGTCTTCATCAGATAATAATTAAACTTTCATAGAATTCGGTTTCTGTTAAGGTAGCTCACGCGGTTAGTGCCGTATTTAGTTGGGGCTCCATATGGTGCTTTATACTTTTCATCAATTTTACCAATTTACTTTGAATGATTAATGTTTTGAACTACTTCAAAATACTGTAATGGAAAAAATGTATAAATAAGTGGAAAAAAAACAAAAATTTGTTTTTCTTATGGTAAACAAAATTTAATTTCTTTTTAATTGGAAGAAAAAATTGGAAAATTCGTCAAACAGACTACAGGAAAACAAGTCACGTTGACGGTCACAGCAGACATGCGTAGAAGATACTAATAAACGCATTGAAACCTTAGTTTGCATGCTTTGATCTTAATTTTTAGTTTTATTTAATCGTTAACATATGTTTTTCTTCCGTGACATCAGCCTCCGTATAAAAATCCATAACCACCTAATTTCTTATGAAAATGTCCTTTTTTGTAACTAAATAAGAAGTGATTAACTTCTGAGTATCACCTACAGTTCCATAAGGCTCGAGTTAAAGAATACTTTTTCTGTTTCTTTTTCAATAATTTTATCGTTGACCTTGCGATTTTTTGGTAACAATCGAAAGATGAAGCTTTTAAGAATGTTCTATTAAATCTTCAACTAAATTTGTAATTATTAAAAATTTGCGTGAGCCACTTAAAATGATTCTTTCTTTCCTCTATCATTTTGAATCAGCCTGTATTTTCGTCCACAGTCACGAGCGTTCCGCGGCTTTGTTAAAACCGTGGGAAGAAAGGTTCTTCGCGGATCTGAAAATTCATGAAGTAACCGGCCTAAGGATTCAATTCTTTCTTAATAGACTGATTCATCGGTCGGTTAAGAGGGTCCAGACAGGTCCGGTCGTCGTTAAATTCGGTTAGACCGACGGTGCTGTTAACGAAGCGATAAATCAATTAGCCCGCAAATCGGTCTCATTGCTTCGCTGGGCAAACAAGCGCGTCGCGTTCGACATTCGCGCTTCTCGGTGATCATTTTAACAGGAGTCCCAGGCGATTTTCGGATGCTCGGTTAATTAATTGGCCCTAATAATTCCCCTCGTTAAATCGACGAAAGAAGTTAATCTGTTTATCAGAACCGGGCTTTTGCAAACGTGTATCACACGGACTGGCTTCGTTAAACGGCCCGCATTCTAATAGCCGACGTAACAATTAACAGCCGATTGTGATTAAGTGCCCAATGAACATTTGATTCGATGGACGCATGCGAACGTAATTTACAATTTTTCAATTGGTGTACGAGCCGTTTAAGATTATCAAGATAGACGATTCGTGTGTTATATTATTGGCTTGTTTTTATTAGAGAATATGTCATTACTACTCTAGAACGTCCACGCCGGCGACCTCACCAAATGAAGAAAGTATATTGAACGAAGATCTTTTTATTATAAACTTCGAAATATCTTTTATATTTTTATTTACTTTCTCTAAATTCTTTTTTCTGAACTGTTCATTTATATTTAAAATATTTAGATTTTATTCTGGCTCGCCCGCGATCCCACGGTGTCACATAACCTCAAAAAATGCATAAATTGGGCAGAATTTTATTCGAATAATACACAGTGAAAAGCAGCAGTATCTAACTGTGTCGTTCTGAGCTTTAAACAGTTAATGAGATTAAATAATTGCTCGGCAAATGTCGATTCATTCATAAAGAAGTATTATTTTATTTTAAAAATCGAAATTTCCACGGTTAAACAATTAAAAATGACGAAATACTTTTTTTATTTTTTATTCGTTATTCGAAACTTTTTATCTACGGTTTGTTTCACGAAAGAAGACGCCTAGGAGGTAGGCCTTCCTCGGCGCGTGGCCTGGCGAGGCAAGACGAACCCCGAGGGCTCTTCTTTCGAAAAACAGACCATAGATTGGTTTAAGAAAAATGGAATTTGAATTAGAAACGCCATTTCGTGAAACAATTTCAGTAGTTTATTCTGTTCATACTTCCGTAAGACAGTGATAATTAACAAACCTCAAACATTTGTCGGAGTTATTTAACAAAAATGACAAAATCATAATCACAATCATAAAAAGATACACATAAATACACATAAAAATTGTGAAAGTAGATCACAGATAGATTTAAACGGCATCAGGTGAGAATTGATTTAAAAAATTCATCGTTAACCCTCCGTGACCGCCGTTACTTTTACTGCTTCCGTCACCTCCTTGGGTCTTCTATGCCCAGACCTACTTTATTTTATTTTATGGACGTCCCAAAATCTGAAAACGCGCCATAAAAAAACTGGTGAGGTCACGGAGGGTTAAAGTGCCACGATTCATTCGCATGTATATTCCTGAACGAAATGAACACACTAATCAAACACATATCTAAGGACCTGTACGCAATACTGAATATAATTTACAATTTAAGAAAGCGTCGGAGAACTTTCTCGCTAAGGAAAAAGTTGTTTCAGATCACCCAAGGAATCACCCCTTCCAAAGATTTACAACTATTTTAGGACACCCTGCATAATGAATACATATAAAAATATATATAATATATATAAATTCGAAATCGCCCAATTTGCAACTTGCGACTTCTTCAAAAAATTCATCGGAATTTTACTACAAAAGTCGCACAAGTTGCGATAAATCTCCCAATCTGGCAACATTGTGTGTATCTACAATGAATCTTCTAGTGTTCCATCGTTCGAATACTTTCGTCGAATACTCACCTCAGTTACCAGGTGAAACAAAATCAAACTCCACGTCTTAGCACGTTCAGAGCCAACTCAAACTGTCGAATGAAAGGATACCAAATGCGGCGAAAGAAACAGGGATGGGACTCGACGAAAAATTCCCGTGAATGAGAAAAATCGAAGGAAGAAAAACGTGGAAAGAGGGTTTTATTCGAGTCGCGTGCGAGCCTGTTCTGGTACACAGAGCGCTAACAAAGCCCGCGGCCGCGTTCACTACGATTGCATCGGTATGCCGCATTTAAATCCTGCGAAGAAATTAGTTTCGTAGACGGCGCTGATTGATACCAATTGATAGAGCCGTGGTCTGCGTCATCCTCCCCCTGCGCGCGTACACACGGCCTTAATTCCACGAGTTTTCGCACGCTGAACACAGCTAGGCTATTGGACACACACACACGGCCGCTTGAAACGAAAAAACATCATCGCTTCTGATTTCAGACGCACTGCAACGAGGGAGAGGACCAGACGCTTCTCTCGGTTCTGCTCGATGCCAGGTTCGACAACCTCCCGCCGTCCACGCGAGTCAATACCATCGACAATCTGGCTGGATTCTTGGGACTTCATCTGGTACGGTATAATTAAACGATTCTCCGCTGATATCCTTCCGGTGTTTAACCCACCGACGTATTGTCAGCGACCGTCTTGCGTGATTTTACGTGAACCACTGCAATCACGGTCACTGACATTCTTATTAATCCAGTCTTCACGGTTTCAATGTTCACAAGTTTGGATTCACATGCTGATTCCTACCGAAATTGAATGTTCTGATAAATTTTGTACTGACCCACATTTGTTAACCCTTATCCGTCCCTCATTTTCCCAACATAATTTTGTCCATCAGTGTCAAATTGGCACAGGGGTAACAAAATTATGTAACGAAGAGAAAAATAGTTAATTTGCAAATTCTTTAAAATAAAAGTCACAGAGCCTCGGCTGAATTTGCTTGTGTGTGATAGAATAACATCATTTCTTAGGAGAAAAATCTGTCAAATTATCTGTAATATCTGCTAAAGGGCAATGCACACTGAAGTTGTAATAATCAATAATAATTGCAATTAGAAAGTTGTTTTAACTATGATTATTAGAAATGGACTTATTTCACATTCAAAAAAAATATTTTTGCGATAACATTTTATAGTTAAAATTCTTTGATTACTTTATCAAGAAATCGTGCTCCATTGAATGTATGATTATAAATATAAAAAGAGGATATCCATATCTTACTAAAATTACCATTAACTCATTTTTTTCCAAAAGTGGACTTATACCACTTTAAAAAAAAAAAACGGCTCATATACAGAGTGACAAAAAAAAAGGTCTGATACTTATAGGCCTTATATGTAGTGCACACTGTGAGGAATAAAAAATGTCTAATCAACGTAGGCCATAAAAGCAATCCTTTCTCTGTAAAATCAACTTTTATTATTTATTAGCGTTCCATATCATCAGAAAGAATATTTGAAAATGTACGTCTATCTATGCTTCGCAGATGTGAAATGTGTGTAGCAATGGAACATGTTGGACATCAAATATGAATAATTGTACTTTCATAAACTGCGTTTATGAAGTGTCTAAATTCAATGGGTTGCAAAAGGAACCAGTTATGATATGGAACAGTAACAAATAATAAAAGTTGATTTTACAGAGAAAGGATTGCTTTTAGGGCCTACGGTCATTAGACATTTTTTATTCCTCTGGGTAAGCACTATAAGGCTTACAAGTATCGGACCTTTTTTTTTGTCACCCTGTATACAATGTGTTTTCTCACGATAAATAATTAACTACCCAGTCAGCCAAACCTGCAAAGCCAAATTGTGTCCAATGCCTGTTATATTGTTATGGTTACAAGTTTGATGCAAGATTTGCTAGAAACAAATTGCGCGCACATTGGCAGCAACATATGCAGTAAATTGGCTTGCGCAAACCTTGTTCCGTTTTTGCCCTCAATTTGACATAGGTCATGTTGCAAGACTTTCTGCCAATTTGCTTTACCATTTTGTCAGCTGGCGTTGCCTGCCAAGTCAAATGCGGAAACAGATGGCTATGGTGTTTCCGACAACTTTTGTCATATATTACTGGCAATTTACTCAAAACACAACTGGTTATCAGGGTAGTGTCACAGTACACCGTTTCCTACTGTTTGAATGTCACTTAAAGAAGTTTCGTATTACCGACCATCAAGAAATATTCCAAATATTAATTCCAACTGTTAATACCTTTTTCTTCCTCGATCCTTACATCATTCTCAATCCCATCGCCCAGGTATAGTACAATGAAAATCGATTATCCGGTCGAGAAAGCAAGAAAAATTGGAGATATCAAGATCCTCGTGTACTGTGACTTAATAATAGAAGCTTCTCGCGTTCTGCTTGTGCATAAAGGTCGAAGGTTCACGCGGAGGTGGAAAGCCTCGCATGTCAATGAGAGACGACGAGGAGGTGGATGTCGAGAATAACGCCGCTTCCTTTCTGTCTCTCCCCCCCCCCCCCCCTCCGTTCCCTCTGCCCCGGAAGGGGCACCGCGATTAAATTAATTAAGAATTCCCGTCGACGGAGTAAAAAAGTGCCGGGTCTCAAAGGCGTCCAATTTATGCCCGCCGGTACGAAAAGAAGTTCCACGCTGGTATACGTTTTAAGTTGAACATTCACTGCATTATGTCGGGGGGGCTCGCGATGCACCTTTCCGCGCCTCCGCCTCCGTTCCCCTTGGTAACGTCGTAAAGTTCCATCTCATAAAGAAACTACGGATTCGCTCGGAGAACTTTATCAAATATTCCTCGTCGAGTCAGCGTTACTTTACTCGCACGCGGAATTGGGACGCCTCAACAATTCCTCGTATTTCGCCCGATTAAAGTTCCTCCTCGGATCGTCGGCGTTAATTAGCGAATCAGGGAGAAGGAACGCGAAAGCGGGAGCGGAAAAATTACCGGGCGCTCAACTCGGAAAGAAGTATTTGTTCGCGGATCATTCGTTTTTTTTTTTAATTCGGACGTTTTCTGTTGGAGGTTAAATACGTACGGCGTTTTTCATGGGCGGAGAAGACTTCGATGCTTGGTCATAGAGATCCATCCGTTTGTCTCCATCTTGGTTCTTTGGGCTATAGAGTATTCCCTCGATTGAGTTTGGATTATTTATTTGTTTTACAAGCATTCGGAAATGAGTATTTTTCCGTGTCCTTTCGAATCAGTTTTTGAATACCAGTGTTGGATCCTTCGGTACAGGGTTTGTCCCAAAAGTTTCCGAATTGAAGTTAACCTTCATCGGGATAGAATGGAGAACAGCGTCAGGCACTCAGTACAGAATAGCTGAACTGAACAATTCTAAAATATTTGACTTTCTTGTAATTCCGTTCATTTATTTAGTAAAATAGTAACTTTTAACGGTTTATTGTATATATTATTACATTTTTCAATATGAAATAATAAAAGAGCACCAAACGTTCTTCTATCCGGATGAAGATTGAAACAGCAATTTTTTTTGCTTTTATCATAAATTATTGAAAATATGTAGTTTCCTTTTGAAGTGATGTATTGTTCATGGTAATTGTACAAACACTGGAAGTAACTCTGATAATTCTTCTTCATGATGACGGAGAACATAGTTGTCGATAATTATAATAAATTGATTAATAGGAATTTGTTTAAAGTAGCTGAATTAGACGAATACGGTGGATAATCAAAGTGTGACACACCTTTTGAGACGTAAATGTTTTGCAAACTTGTGAAGCCAAAAGTTTCGACCATAGTCGTTTCCGCCATCTTGAAGACGAATTATCAGGGCCATTTTCAGAGTTTCTATAATTATTGTGAACAGTGTATCTCTTTAAAAGAAAACTATTTTTAATATTCGATGATGAAGATTATCATCATTTTACGGAATACTGTTGTTTCAATTTCAGTTCGGAAACTTACGGGACAGTCCGTGTCTAAGGTCGCTAAACGTCACTTTAGGGAACCATATTATGCATCTGTAAAATCTGTAACCTTCCTCGCTCCTTTGATTCTGTTTTCACCATTCATCAGAAGCTTTTGGACACACACGATCGAGGCATGTGCCCTAAAAATTGAATAGAGAAACTCATTTCATTCGAATAATTGATTCGGTTACGTAAATTTAATTTCCTCCGTCAAGTCGATTGAGTTACGTCGCCCGAATTTTTTCTCCTGGTCGCTGCGTGTCATCAAAATTCTACTTTCCACATGATTAAAATGGTTAAGTTAATCATCGAGACCGGGGACTGGACGCTGTATTTCCGAGCCATATCCTTATGTTCCGCCAATATTTGTATTTCAGAGCGCGTTCTCGATGCATCCGCAAAGCGCCAAGGAGAACTTCAACGTGGACTCCACGGTGATACTCAGCGGGCCTGGGAACGTAAAACACCGTAAAGAGAAACACCTAACCGCGATACAGTGGCAGGTGAGTCCTTTGACTTATTGTTTGGTAATCCTAATCGAATTGTCCCGCTTCACTCTGCAGGGTAAGGCACCTGACTCGACGAATTCAAATTACTCGTAAATTACTTACTTCAGGGAGGACATACGTTAAAGTAATTATTTCATTTCTACATGGTTCACCCATAATGTTTTGAAGGTGACCTTGATTTTTTAAATGGAATACCCTATATTTCTCTGCGGAAATTAAATGAGCATTAAAAACTGAGTAAATAAATTCTAAGGAATAATAGGTCCGAAGTGGGTATTTACTGATATATTTACATTGAAAGTTTGATGATAAAAGGTGTTCGAACTGTTGATTGCTGATATACAGGCGTGTTTGACAAATACTACATACAACTTTTCTAGTGTACTGCTGTAGATTTTTATACTTGCAATAATGATAATTCTTAGTTGCTTTCCGGAGTTGTCGATGGCTCAATAAAATTCAATGAAACACCTTTTACGTTAAAATTTGCATTGTAAATATTTCAATAAGCACCCTCTTTAGACCTATTACATTTTACACCTCAGTACTTATTTTCTTACTTTTTAATGCTTATTTAATTCTCGTAAAGAAATATACGGTGTTCCCTTTTAAAGCATCAAGGTGACCTTTAAAGTTTTACGCACAAACAATATAGAAAAAAAAAAACTATATTTTACGTATGTCCTCCCTGAAACCATGCAACTTTTGTGTGAAACATTTTTTTAAATCATGTGAAATCATCGAGTTAAGTGCCTAACCTTACATACAGTGATAAAAGAAATGTTTAAGAATTACACCAAAGAAGTCTCAATTTTCGTTCGATAGAAATTCCATGCAATAAATTGACAAAATTAATTGGCAAACCAGGTTGGCTGCGAGGGTCATTTATGGAGGCATCAGACGGATTTGGTGAAGCGATTGCGGGAACAAGCGAAGGACGGCACTTTGGCCGAGGTGATGCAGCTTCCGGTACTGCTGTGGCGCGTGAAAACGGAATCGAGCTCGTTGTTGAGGAACCGGAGGGAAGCCGGCTCCGGGGACTACAATAGTCCGGACGACTACGGCGGTTACGAGGATTACGAAGGCGAGTACGACGAGGATGGTGGCGAAGACGGCGATGACTCGCAAGTGCAGCCGACATTCGTGCCGGATACGAACGCCCCGAGGGGAAACCTCGGCCCGGAACATCCTCATAGGCATCATCACGGAGAGGAATCTGTCGATCGGAATGTGAGTGTATTTTCGGAAACGGAAGCTGGGAGATTGTTCTTGCTTGTAGAAACTGAATATTACATATCGAAGCAGGGGGTTCGAACTTAAATGAGCCCTTGAATGCATTAATGGTTATATGGCGCAAGATGTTAAAATTGACAGAACTTTACAGTGGTCCAAGGTAAATGTGATACGATTGAAAGAAGAATAGGTTGAATATATTTATTATAGCGAAATATATATAACGCTTATGACAATGGATTTTTAATTTAACACTCTGACACAACCTGCTACTACACTATAGATTTTTAATAGAACTATGTGACACAACCTACTGCCAGTACACACGTTTATAACGCCGGGCAGTAATTAGCTATTTTTTGAAAGTTATTTTCATGGTTCAATTTATTGGAGTACCTTTAACAGTATAGAAATTCTCATAATTTCGCTCTCAAGTAAAAGACGACACTAAGTGTCTCAGTAGTCCTTTGTTAGGCGAAGCCTTATAATTTACCGATTACACGTGTTGGACTACATACACTTAATTCTAGTTCAGATAACACACTAGAGGTAACGTATTTGAATTTCACAATAGCAGTTAAAAGTTACAAATTGACTTACGCCGTTCCACGTTTCCTAAATTTATAGATGCAATCAAATCTGAGAACAATCGTGTTAAATGTTGATTCTAACTCGTTCTAAAATATTTATTCTATATATTTACTTTATAACAAGAGTTCAAAATTGTACGTATGTGATACATGCCGTTGTGTAAAGAAATTAGATAAGATTATGTAACAACGTGTGGTATTTGTTTATCTAGACCGAAGAGATCGACGATCTTGTACCGGGCGTGAGTCAAGCGAAGACAGTGGAGAACGAACCGAGCAGAGCCACCACCACGGATGCACCGACGGTAAGTATCAGTAACAAGAATCTACTCGCGTGATGTCACATCACCGACCTCGTGTCCGAAAAGACAGAAACTATACGTAATCGTCTAGCTAAAAAAAAACCGGCTTTCGTTGGAAGTTCTTATTTCTGTCCTTCCATTTTCCGCCATGCAAATTGCTTAAGGGAGTCGTTGCGCTTGAAATACTTAGTCGTAGCTGTGGGTTACTGCGTGTTCAATGGCGGCCTATGCGATTTCCGCGCCGTTTTAGACGGTATCGATCGATGTATAGCAAAAGAGTCGGTCCCCCATCCCTCTGTATACCTATCGATGGGGAAACGAAAGCCCGAGGCGACCGAGAGATACCACTACTATTTACCATCTCTGTCGTCGTCGTCGTCTGCCCTACGCTCTACCCTTCGTAATTGTAACTAACCAAGTTTTTCGTGCCGTACATCGCATCTACTAACGATTTCGCAGACAACAACCACTGAACTTACATCACCACCATCATCAACAACCCCAACAACAACCAACACCACGACGGCAAGCTCAACAACAACCTCAACTACAACCACCCAACAAGCACCGTCATCAACGGCCACTAGTACAACACCTAGCACAACTACGACTACAACAATAGCCGATATAACGACAGCTAGCGTCGTCGTCACGACCACGATCGCGGTGTCGACCGAAACGTCGAGACCACCACTACCGGATACGACCACCGAGGCCATCACGGAGAATACCAGACACACGGAGAACGAATCCATAAACGTCTCGACCGTCACTATCCCAGTAACCACGATCCCACCCTTGGTGACCCCTCATTCTAGCACGACCGGACCGGCCACGACCACCGTCGAGAGAACTGAAACGGATGTAACCGGTGGTACCGTGAATGTCACCACGGAGGAGGTAATGCTTCAATGCTTCGTGCTTTTCATTTGTATTATAGTCCATGCTGCCGCAATTATAGTCTCGATTACACCAGTCTCTTGCTTTGCCAACGGATAGGTCGTCGCGCGAAACCCCCCCCGTCCCGAAACCGGCCGCCTACCCTAGAACGCGCGAAGAATCGTTTGCGCAAGCTTCTGCTTCTTTTGTACGCGTGCTTTTTTTATTGTTCATCGGTGCGTTTCAATTGTCTATGTACAGAGCAGACTATCGAGGACACGTGGCCAGATGGTCCACAGCAAGGTGTACGCGCTGGTTAGTGTACTAGGAAAGTGGAAGTAGAAAAGACTTTTGTGTCTTATAAGCAATCTGAGGTATATGTTAATTCTAGCGCATAACATGTGTAATAAGATGAAGTAGCGAATGTGTGGTCTTCATGATATAAGGAAAAAGTGTTGCGAGGAAAGAAGACGAAGCGACGAAGCTCACGATTCTTGGTGTATCCTAGTGATCATTTCGTAATGTTCTTCTCACTACCATCATGATCACAGACCGTTCCCCTTTATTGGCGTATAATGCACCGAGATGTTGTCAGTGTTTTCTTAGTTTTAAAGTATCTTCTTTCTGCCTCCAGCCAACGGAACAGTCGACGGGACCTTCAACAAAACAGACTGTTACCATAATACCCACCACAGTACCCGTAAACAACAGCATGTTCGGAAACACCACCCCCACCAGTACTCTGCTACCGATATACTACATGAACACTACCACGACACCCATGACAACAATGACGCCAATGTGGCTATCACCAAACACCACAACCACTACTGCGTACACCACAATGGCTCCAACTACCACAAGTACTACTACTACCACAACCACCACCACTACCACCGCCCCGTCAACGACCAGCGGTACCACTGAACCACCCAGAGTTAACACGGAAAGCATAGAGTACGGAGTTCGCAACTTCCCACCTAGACAGGATAGGAGGCTGAAGAAAATACCGGTGACCGCTGGTAAACCGTTGAGCTACGTCATACCAGCTGATACATTCAGTGATTTCGAGGATGGTGATACCAGAAGATTGAGATTGAGCCTGTACCTACAAGGCACGCCCTTGAAGAGCACGCATTGGCTGCAGTTTAATCAGAACACGCAGGAGGTTTATGGATTGTAAGCATTGGTTCTTGTTCTTTGAGAAACGATTTTCTATTACTTAATTTTAAGATATAATTCTATACGATAATAAGAGAGCATTATGATTGTTGTATTCTTGCTTATAAGATAAGACAGTTTCGCGTTTCTCTTTCCCAGACCACTGGAGAAGGATATCTCCACATGGACCTACGAGTTAGTAGCTTCTGATAGCGAGGGATTAAATGTGACTGACCGGCTGGACATCCACGTACAACAGCACAAACTCAGTCGCAGTGTCAATCACGAGTTCAGTATTTACCTGAGAATCGACAAACGCACGGAATTCCCCACGGACTTAGACTGGGAGCTGAAGGTATATATGACCTTCTGTAAAGGTTGTATTCAATTTTAACACGCTTTACGTTTTAGGTAATTCGAAGTTTGGCCGAAGTGTATGGCGACAGTGATACCAGACACATCACTGTTCGATCGGTTGACATCGTTCGCGAGCAAGCTATCTTCACTTGGACTAATGACAGCCTGCCCAGAAGCAGCGAGTGCCCCAAAGAATATATCAATGATCTCTTACGTGTAAGTGTCTTGTTTTTCTCATTAAAAATGAAATTCTTTGACTTATTTCTAACGCTGTGGTCTGCTCTTTAGGTCCTGCTAGATAGAAATGGCGATCCTAGCCCTGCACTAACGAAAGCTCTTCTCCCTGAGATCAGAGTGAAACGAGTGCTCCAACAGGGAATTGGGCAATGCGAGGACATGAATCGCCCAGAGCCACCTAAAGTCTCTACTCAAGAGCCAAAGTCTAACTTCCCGCCAGTGCCGAGGAACCAAGTGGACCTTGTCAATGCCACAGTTGGCCAATTACTCGTGTTCAAAGTGCCAGAAGTACGTTCACCGTGTTCTCTGTTTTTCTGGGACTTTATTTGATTAAGGAAAGTGAAACATATGGTGATGATGATTGTTTCAGGACACCTTCTATGACGCTGAAGATGGTCCAGCTCGGAATTTGCGAATGTCCCTTCTGACTATCGACCGCAACCCGATTCCAGCCCACGAATGGTTACAGTTCGATAGCAAGAACCAAGAATTCTACGGTGTTCCTATGCGCAGCGACGTCGGGCGCAAAGAATACCAGTTGGTTGTCACTGACAAAGAAGACGCAAGCGCTACGGATGGTCTAGTCGTGGTCGTCCACCCTGCGCCGGTCATGTATCACACGGTAGAATTCTCAATGACCTTGGACATTCCTTATGATTCGTTTGCTCACTCCGCCCTGCAAAAGCGTAACTTCATCGAGAAGCTGCGCGATCTCTATCAAGACAGGGACACCAGTGCGATCTCCTTGTACAGCATATCCAATGGCAGTACAGTGATTACTTGGCACAACAGAACCTTACCCACGTCGTACTGTGCTCACGAGGAAGTGAGCAGATTGCGATCAGTGTTGGTAAAGAGTGATAACGCTCGTCGATCCGTGACTGACGAGGTTCTGGAGATCATGGGTGCCAAGTTCCCGGTGAAACAGATCACTGTCATCCCGATGGGTATCTGTCTCGGTGAATTGACCGACGTTCATTCGCCAGACAATCACGTACCACCGGTGGATGATTCCACCTCGGTTGGAGCGTTCCATGATGACTATCTTATCACATTCGTCCTGCCTGCTATAATCATCGCCGCGATGCTGATTCTAGCGGGCATCATCGCCTGCGTGCTGTACAGACGAAGAAGAAGCGGGAAGATGAGCGTTAGCGAGCAGGATGACGAGAGACAGAGCTTCCGGAGCAAGGGAATACCAGTGATCTTCCAAGACGAACTGGATGAGAAACCAGATCCAGGTAAATACCGTATGTTGATTTTTTTTTATTACTATTTACTAACATTTACAATTGCATTCACAAACATCGGTATTGTTTATCGTTCCGTTTGTTCGTTTCAGGCAACAAGTCGCCAGTTATTCTCAAGGAAGAGAAACCACCCCTACCACCACCTGAGTATCAGAAAACTGAGGACGGAGCGGACGTGCCTATGTTACCAAAGGAGAATTCAGAGGAACCCTATCAACCGCCCCCGCCGTTCGCCACGAACCGCGACACCAATCGTCAGAACCGCCCCAAACCCACTCCAACGTACAGGAAACCGCCCCCATACGTGCCCCCCTAACAAAATACGGTCCACTCCCCCACGCGCAAATATATGCTAGCGATGCTCGGAGACTCCCCAATACACACGCAAAACCAAAATAATTATCAGACGAAACCTGAGGCTGCCGGTAACGTCGACAGCTGTGGACCTCTGGACGTATACAGCAATTTGTAAAGCTTTCGTTCGTCCGGTATGATCGAGTATCATATATACATATATATATACATATTCATTGACGACAACTCGCTGAAAAAAATCGCGCGCGCACTTTTTACTTACATTAACCATATAATATATACACACACGCAACACACACATACATCTACACAAACATACGCTCGTTCGTCGCTGTTCATTCGTGCTAATTGTATTTAAGAAAAACCCGACGGGGTCTTCGATATTTTTTCTTTTTTTTTTCTCCCTTTTTTTTTGTATACGTTTTTCGTTTTTGAAACCGATGTACTTTACCGACCGTTGATATTTCACGGGAACTTTTTCTAGGGAGTATGGGATACAAATCACGCGTTGCCTTTCGTAACGAATTCAAACTGTAGAAGAGACGAAGGATTCACTGCTCCGACTCCGGGATTAAGCGGATTTAGGTTTTAGGTTTTACTGGTAGATCACATCGATATGGTGAATTCATTCATCTTCGGGGACAGCAACGATACTCGTTAAATATTTCAGTAATCAGTGCCATTTTTGTAAGCAATAAGGGTATCCCGCTACGAGCGTACGACCCAAAAAGGTTCGACGACTCCGCGCAGTTACTTGTTAAACAGTCTCCAAGTATCAAGGACTATCGACTTAACGAATCTTCTTATCGTACAACGTACCTACAACGTGTAACACTGCCAGTTGATTAAAAGGAAAACAAAAAAGAAAAGAGAATTAATTGGTCGTCGGGTGAGGCGGTTCTATTACTAATTGTGCAGTAACTTTTTTTTATATTTATATACTGCTTGGATAACAAGAATAATTTAAATCAAAGAATGGAATTCGATGAATACTGAAGCATCCGGCGATCGGTTATCGATTGAAAGAATTAATTGTCAGAGGGAACTGAGGATTTTTAAAGAGAAAAAGAAAATTTAATCGACTATATTTGTTCGTGCGATGCCATTGCAGAGTGACAGCAAGAAAAAATGCTTCCATTGGCACTGTAAGCCATGCAGAATGAAAAGAAAAACTAATGATAATATACAAATATATATATATAAATATGTATATTACCTAAATGTCGTTCGATAGACCGTCTGCAGTCACTTAGGTCAATGTTGTTCATACGCTGCCAGACCCATGTTATAGCATTTACTTGTTTTCATCTTATCCTGTTTCTTTAACTGCACACGTGTACAGAGGAAGCTTTCTGTTCATTATTTTTTTTTTTACGCACAATCTGATTTTTCGTTTATTCTTATTCTTCTTTTTTTTTTTTTATTGTACAACGCCCTTTGGCTATTGCCTGTAAGGTTTTGTATTGTCGTTTTTCAAGAGCCTTTGAACGAATTTTCAAGACTTAAACAGTTTCTAACCTGTTCGAAGAGGCGAGTTATTTAATTAATTTAGATTTTACATAGTTACCAAGCCAAAAGATACTTATTTAAAAAAAAAAAAAAGCAAGATGGAAAAAGTGAAGAACAAAAAGGAGGGAGAGGGCGGATAAAGTTGATAAGACCCGTTTAAATGATAAGGTATACAAAAGCGTGACTCCCGTACCCTTTTTGCGCAGGGCGCACGTATACACGGTTTTATAAATGATTTTCTATAATCTCTCCGAACTGCTCTGTTGCAAGGTCCCTTTAAATAATTCGACGTGGAAGTGTGTTTTCTGGTTACGATACGGGTATGTACGCCGTTTCTTCAATACCTCGATAGTTTCCTGATATTTTTTAAAAAGTAAAGAAAAAAAGAAGGGAAATGCGAGGGGTGAGAGAAAAAGGGGAAAGGTAGAGGAGAGAACGTGTATGGAAAAAATATCTTTCACCTCGAATTTGGAGGCTCCGTTCACATCCGTTTCGCGAAGAGAGGTAGTTGACGAATCCGCAAATTTGGGGTCACTCCTATATAAAACTCGTATGAATGATGATGTTGATGATGATGATGATGATAATAATAATTGTGTATGTAGAATGATAAACGGGTGTTTCGTATGCAAGCTAAATTACGATATAATATATATTACTATTAATTCACGTCTTTATAAAGTAGAAGATTTAAGTATATTTACGCGACTACTGAATCGTTTTTCATCGCGGCTTGTTTATCGCAGAGGGAACACGACGGAAGAGACTTGATCTATAAAATACAAAGCGTTACGTTGATCTGTAAGAAGTATAGGGTGGGGCGTATTTCAGGATACAATTGTCGGAAAAGTAAAAGAATTGTTCCTGTAAAACTCGATGAGTAGTAACTCAATAATTATCTTCCATGGCAAAGAGTGGGTACAATTAGTGGCTCCAGATTATTAACGTCTGCTTTATCCACATTCGAGATCGAAACAATCATCGAAGGAAGACCTAACCCAAACGGATTATAAATCCATCAGAATTCATTTATCCGATGTTGCACCGTGAATCACGCCCCCACTCTGTACGTTCAACAAGTAGCGGAACCTCTGAATATTTTCTATTTTTGTATACCATTTTTAGCGTATCTCTCTTCTCCAACTAAATTGAATCGTCCACGGGATCGGGAGTTCGGCTGCGCTCGAGCCGCTGCTAACGTACCTTTTTTTACACGAATAGCTCGACAGCCAGCAGCCGAACTCCTGGTCTCGGATGCGGCGAACCGAACGATAAATTAGGGCTCCTTCCCAAAATCCCGTTGCATCAAAATGCGCTGCGATAAGCAAGGACCACATTCATATCATGCTTCTAATCATATCATCGCTGTTTAACGCGTAACTCTCGAACGCTGCAATTGTGTTACTGTGACGAAAGAAGAAAAGAAACCGAGAAACGGAAAAAAGAACGATGACTGTGTATGATAAACGTGTACGATATTTAATAAGACGGGAGGACACTCGAGTGGGGCGACGAAAATTGGAGAACGAATTTCATTAAAACGAAAGAAGATCGGAAACTTTCTTTTGGTCTTTGGAGTGATTCGGATGTATTTTGTACAAATCGTCGTGTATAGGAATTTGTTGTATACATAAGAATACACATTGACTGGAATTTTCAAATTATTTTTGTCCGCTGTAGCGCTTCGATAGCACCCCCGGAAGACCGGGTTCTCGTCGAAACGGAAGCGTGTCCGATTCATTGACGCCTCGCGCCTCGTTGGTGTTTACGATGAACGGAAGGAATATTGAATTAATAACACACGTATACAGATATCTTTGACAAGTACTACATATTAAACATGTGTAAAGTTAAGGAGTTAATAATAAAACCATTTTAGGATACTCCATGTCTATTTCTGTGCGCGCGTATTCGGCGTAACGTTGCCGGAAGTGTCTTTTTAATTCCGTAATGGCGGTCCTTGCCTGCGGCAAGGTGGGATTTCCAGGAGGTCGACCTCAACTTTTACTTTATCCTTCCTGTGACCGGACCTTGACGGTTTTATTTCGAACACGCTCTATCGATTACGATCAAGCGTGTGCTCTATTATCAGACGTTATCCAACTCGAATCAAGTGTACGGAATTATTTATGAATCTAACAGCGGCTACGCTTGCCATCAAATATCAACGAAAGAAATTTCATTATTGAATGGGTTACATCTACTCAGAGACCCCAAAAACGACACGTAAGGCATTTTTATTGGAAAAGCATTAGGTGGTAATGACATTATTCTATTGAAAGATACATCTTCTAAACTCATTATCCTAAATTGCGATGAAACAATGTTATTAACTAATGGATATATTTCCGTATAAGTCGTGTTTTTTTTATAAAGCATTTACTGGTAAAAACCGAATGGATTTGAGAAATAATTGAAATTAGAAGTCGGTGACGATCTCCGATTTTTAATATTGCATTTTCGTACGAAATGACCACCACTTGAAGTGGAAACATAAAATTTGCACGGAAAAATCATTTTTTTCTTTCGTTATTAACAAATTGGAAACGACAATTTTAAACAATTAACGACCATGTAATGTTTTAATAATATCTCGTACAAATTTCAAGTGAATCGATCAATTGGTTCTCGAGATATGATGTCCACTGCCTTAAAGAATCGTGCTTTGAGAAAAATGTGCCTGAAATTTCGTGTATGGCCGTTCGACTATGCGATCTCGTTTTGTTCAAAGCTCGCGTAACTTTGTTAATGTTTGAGACATCGATATGCAATTTTTACGATATCTAGGTAATCCATGTAGATAGACGTAACGCCTTAAGAATTGAATTCACGGTCGAATTTGATTTAGGTTTCCAAAATCAATATTTTTTCCTAGAATTTCCGGTATCGCGAAGTTCAACTTCAAGAATGGTCAATACTTCGTAACATTCCATAGCGAAGCTTTACGTAAGTACTTTATTTCACTTTACAGATATGTTCATTTATGCAGAAGTCATTGATTCGAAAAAATACTCTTACATCTGTGAATTTTTGTCCGTGAAGATTTTTGTTTGGTTTCATTATCGTATTCGAGATATAAATTTATAAAGATTACTTGACTCAGGCTTATATCAAGGATGCAGAGACATCGTTCATTTTCCAAACGTTTTGTACGGTAAGAAACATCTCGTTTTTGTCTTACTGTTCAAACAAGGTGCACGTGCACGTGTCGTGACCGAAAGTTTGCGTCTGGTGTTTCGTTCAGCCGCTCGTTTACGTAAACAATTGACAATGACTTAACGAGGATTAATTAGATCGGACCTGGCAAAGAGTTCTTGCGACGGATGGTAAACGCGGCCTTCCTTCCAACACTCGCGCCCCAGCTTCCACGTGTTTTTCCAAGCAGTTATTCCACTTCGCGAACCGCTTTAAGATGATCTACGAAACTGCAGCGAAGAACGTGTCCTTTACGAGCGTTAACCAGCGGTTCATTAAAAAGCAATAAAAGCTGGAAAATCGCGCGTTCTGTTGCGACACAAACGATAATAAATCAATAAACAATACTCAAAGACATTTTTCAGCTGAATCTGCTTGTACATAGTTAGTTCTTCAACGGCCTTAACTCTTTCGACATTTATACCGACTCGACATAACTCCGATGAATGACATTGTCGAGTATACTCGTCATTGAGCGAAAAAAATTTGCATTTGTTACTTAAAGTAAAACTTAGGTAATACAAAAAACATATCCGTAATTTTAACACATTTTAGAATATTGTAGGATAAAAAAAGTAACCTTACAAAGA